CTATGAAAACACTGTATCATATGAAAACGCAAACCTTTTGATGGGTATTTGCACATTGATTAATATGGAGGGACAGCATGTGGCGCTTTGTTGTCGCCATTCTGTCGTCGCTACACTAGAAACGAAGCGCTTTCAAGACGATGCGCATCACAGAAAGGATGTTTTTTACAGAGAAAAAAATTGTTAATGATGATAATGACGACGACGACGTGGATGATGATGTAGATTACGAGGAGATCACTGCCCCATTAATTCACAACTTGTCCATAGTTTTCCTCTCAAAGCTTCGAACAATCGAGATGTACATTAAAAACAAGCGGACTTTTAAGAATTACTTGGGCCAGTATTTACTAAGAGACTCCCCATACCAAAGAAACCGTTTAATGCTAGATTTTTGACGGATTTTTCGTTTGCAAGGACCGTTTACGTAATTTTTAAGAAAATAAAATTATTCTCCCTATACTGCAGTATAGCAGGGGTAAATTCGCGTCTGTGCAGAAGTCGCCTCGTTGCCCTATAAACACCCTTGCAATGACTGGTTACCTAATTATTACATATGTGTTATTGACCAAACCTAAGGTCAAGATAACTGGGTTTTGACCGAGTTTTTTTTTGCGTTTTTATTGACCAAGACGACATTGAGTTCCATAAATAACGGAAGAGAACGAGTCTAATGTCAAGCCATGCTCGGTCAAAAAGGATTTATCATACAACAAAGAGATTTGACAAAGACACTTGTGTTTGTAGCACAGTAAACCCACGAGAGTTGTTTATGCTTCGTTTTTTTTACTGTCTTCTACCTCTGAACTCAATTATAGACTCAGCTTTTCTTAGTTCTTCTTACACACTTCACTTTTGTCAGAGGTCATAACTAGAATCCCTTGGGGGTATGATAAATAATTCATAACCAAAATTAGAGCTTTTAACAAACGGTGAGGCTGTAATAAGTTACGAACTTAGAGAATCACTTGGATGCTCAAAGACTGACGGCACAGATACTCTAAAATTTGTCATATTAATCGGTATGGTAAAAATAAGAAGGGTTTGCTTGTTTCCAGTTTCCTTGTTTCCTTGTTTCCCAAGAATGAGCTGTTTATTTCGAGATCCAGGAAAGAAAGCTGTGTTTGTAGCACAATAAACCCACGAGAGGTTTTTATGTTGAGTTTTTATCGTTTCTTTCTACATCTGAACTCAGTTATAGACTCAGCTCCTTTTAATTCTGCTTATAAACTAAGCTATTGTCAGACGCCACAACTCGAATCCCTTGGGGGTATGATAAACAACTTCCGAACTTCTAGACTCAGTTATAGGCTCAGCTTCTTTTTATTCTTCTTTTAAACTTTGCTTTTGTCAGACGCTACAACTAGAATCCATTGGGGGTATGATAAACCCAATTCATTACCAAAATTAGAGCTTTTAACAAACGGCGAGGCTGTAATAAGTCTCGAATTTAGAGAATCACTCGGATGTTCAAAAGCTGACGGCAGAAATACTAAAAAATTTTGGCGGCTTACTCAGTTTATTTTTCATATTAATCTTCGATCGGTATCATAAGGGTAACAATAAGAATAGTTTGTTTGTTCTGAATTTAGGAATATCAATTTTCTGGCGCAGCTGCACAAATTTCTAAAATAGTCTTTGTATTATGCGTACGTGCATCATTTTATTTCCAACAGCCTTCATGGGAAAACAAATTTTAGTACTTGAATTCTAATCATTATCCGGTCTCCGCAATGCCTTGGCTTATAAGGAAACAGTTTAATAATTCATTTAGATAGGGCCATAGGTGCTTGTTTTTGAAACTTTCGTTTCAGTATTGCGAAAATAACGTTTGTCTGTCAACAGTTCAGTTATGAAATTCCGTGCCACCACATCGCTTAATCTGCGACTACAAGGGATGGATCTGATTGTAACGATGACCGTTATATATGTCTTGATAATTTGTGAAGGTGTGGTTTCTAAAATTTGCTATTTTTGTCGTTGTGAACGAACTTATGTTTGATTCGAGTATGACTCTGTTATGTTATCACAAAGTAGACTTGCCTCAAAATGTTTTAGGAGGGTTTTAATGTGGTTAAATTTAGCCATTAAGTGACAGAATTGACAAATTTTAACCTTAAGTCGTATAAAAAGTTAACCGTCGATTTGATTTTCAATTAAAACAGAAAGAAACTAAACGTTAGCTGTAAAATGGCCAAAATTTTCATCGTCAGTTAGATGTCTTAATGTTATTGTGACGGGTTTACCGTGTCATCGCGATTTACCCGAAAACAATGGGTAAAAGGAAAGGCATAAACGAACAAGAAATATTGGGCAATCAAAGCTCAACTATGCAAACCCGTCAAAGTTTCTCAAAATCGTTAAACAGCATTGCACTTAATAACTTTGACCTAGATTATGGCATTTCTTCAACACAGAAATATATTTTTTGCACGATATATGAAGGGGAAGCTTTATTTGAACTTGAAATGTAAAATCGAATCTTGATTCGATTCCTTACAGGTGTTTTTCACAGCAACTTCGCGCCTAAAGAGTTTGCTTACCTCAACATCACAAGAATCGGCTCACAACTTGTCCGAAAGGATATCGAGTGTGGATTTGCCTGTTTGGAAATCACTTCATGTTTCTCTTATAACCTGGCTGCATTTCCCGATGCCAATGGAAAACTGTCATGTGAACTGCTTCCATCGGACAAGTATAACAACTCAGACAAATTCATCTACAGCCCGACTTTCAACCATTTCAGTATCCCGGTAGGTGCAAATTCATTTGTTTCAGTTTTAGCAACTGACAGGGAAAAAAAAATGATTGTCAGAGGAATAGTGTGAAATAAATTTATAGCATTATTAGTGGCCAACAAAAGTCGAGAATACACATTCGGAAGTACCTTCATCATCCCATGTTCTCTAATTTTGTATCACCATAGTGTCCACCAATCACAGACCGTCGATTGATAGAGCTGTTTAATAAATAATGAGTCGTTGATATTGCTTCATGCAAATGACAGCTTATTCATTTTCAACAGAACCCTTGCTCCAGTGATCCTTGCATGAACGGTTCAACTTGTGTGGCCAAGTACATCGATGATGATTATCAGTGCGCATGCTCTCCAGGATTTAAAGGAACACAATGTCAAATAAAAATAGGTGTGTCGACGTAGCATGTTCAATTTATTACCATCCAACCATATCTTTCTCAGTGCTACATTTATTTCGATATCTATTGCGACGTGAGTGAGTTTTATCCTGATTTTTTTCCTTTCCCAAGCTCCGAAAGACTGCAAAGACATTAAGATGCGAGGTGATTCTGGGGGAGATGGTATGTATCAATTGGACCCGGATGGAGGAAGCCTTTCAAATGCATTCTGGGCCTACTGTGATATGACGTCATACAATGGAGGTTGGACCATGTGTTACACTACCGACGAATATGTCAAACCCAGGACGGAGGTCACATACAATGCCTCTTTTCCTTATGGAACTGCCGACTACAGGACCAACTGCAACAACATCTCTGTAAGTTGATTTAATAACCTCTTATCCCTATGAATACGGATCGCTTAGTATTCTCTCCTTATAATGCATTTTATATACTCGTATCTATTCGTTCACTGCACTGAAAATGGCTGCTTCACTGTGCCTTCCTAGCTAAAGAAAATACTAAAGCACATAAAACTTAGACAAAGGCTGTGAAAAAGGTCAGAATTTTACAATATGTAATACCCATTGTCTCTTTTTCAAGTTTACAGAGATTATGTTCTTGGATCATCAAACTTTGGCTAAAGTGTATTTCAAGCGAAGAACCAACCAGTCCATAACGGCCAATTTGAATTATGGGAACGGTGCTTCTACTTATGGATTATGGGACGGTGTGGGAGTGACCGACGCCTACCTTTATCAGCTACTGATTTGTGATACCTCATTCTACAGTGGCTTCTTCGTTTCTGGTTACACAAACTGTTACAAGCAGTGTAATGACTGGTGTGACGATCATGTCTCCCCATACTTCCGTACTGCACCTAGTTCGAGTTACTTTGGTGTGGCCTTTAACATCAGTGGCCACCGACCAGTCAATAAAAGACTCATCAGTGTCGGTCTGCGCTGAGACATTTACGGATTGAGTGCATACATAATTTCCTTCTTAGGTGTGTCATATTTAATCATGAGCATAACATACTAATCGTATCTAGGCTTGTCCCGATTGTGCACGGCAACTTATGAGCAACTTTTTGTGTTTGGGGCAACTTTCTGTGGTCCTAACAACCTCGAGCAATTATTGCCTTATTGCCTGATTGCGTAATATAGGTTTAAGGCACATTTCAAGCACAAAATAGTCAACAATTTGATAGAAAACTTTAATCTATGCAAATTTCTGAAAGTTTATCAACACTTTACAACTTTTCTCATGCCTGTTGCGATTCTTATCTGATATTGTAAGATGGCAAGACGTCAAATGAAATCTTGTTCCTTAAGGCATAAGAGTATCCTTAAATTTCGCCCATATTTGCAAGCAACTCATCACAGCTATGTTTCAAGGTTTTTTCTTGACGAATGTTTGCAATTATTGTGAATAACGAACGTAAAGATTCAGATTAACGTTTTGAATAAAATATCAAGAAATTTAGGTAGCAACTTTTTGTATGAATTTGCAATTTTTCAGCAACAAAAATTTGGCATTTTAACGAGAAACCTTCCAGAATTTAACGCGTACAATCAAGATAGGCCTAGTCGTATCTCTAGATAGCCCCGCCCCATCACGTAATGATAATGATAATAATGATAATAACAATGATAATAAGATACATATTTTAAGAGGAGACCTCTTAGTAGTTTTCAGGGGCGTGTGCCGAGTACATCTGAAGTTGGTTTGTTTCTGATGTCCTTGCCACTGTAATCTAATTTCTATGACGTGGTGAACCAATCCTACAGAGTAACGCTAGATTCTGCGTATTTTTTCAAGATATGAATATGTTAGTCAGCGAAATGATCAGAGATCGAGGCATGTCGAGGCGTTGGCTCACGATAAAAGACAGTTTTAGCTTTAAACTTGTAACTGCATGGTAATTGAATATATATTACCAACACACGCCACAATTTGTCCATCCTACACCTATGCGCAGATTGTATAAATGTGGTGGAATCTGTGTCGCAACACAACAGAGAAAGAAGTAGAAGTAGGACTTCAAGCAATTTACATGTTGATTTAGTAAAATCTGTGTCACTATAAAATAAAGGAAGTATTCGTAGTAGTAGTTGTAGAGGCAATCTACGTGTAACATCCCTCTGTCATTAACCAACCAAGGTAACATGAAAAGACAGAGGGCTTCATCTTAATATGACGCCACACTCTCTTGAGAGAATATTTCACATGTATTAATGTAAAGAGTGATTTTTGAGTTGTTTTAATTTTATAAAAGCAACATTTTGTAGCTTGTTTTCAATATATAAACCATTGAAAAAAATAGTTAAGCATGTGGAATGATTACGAACAACAAGATTTGTTTAGAAAGAAATTAGAAGGATAATGTATTTTTAATGCTACGTATACGTACGTTCATTGGCTTAGCAAAGCAGTAAACAGAGAAACCGAGGTAAACAATTGACATTTTCTGTTGGCATCAAGCCTCTGTCTAAAGGGGAAAACTGAGATGACAGGTTATAAAAAAAATGACCAATCATGTCTTAACAATGTTGTAATCAGTTTGTTTACAGTTTTTTTCAAGTAACATCTCAGTCCCTTATGAACAGTCTTGATTGTAACTTTCTGTGCCTGCAATAAATCGAAAACGAGTTCGTAAACATCCATTCGTATTTGGAATGACTCGTTCATTTCAGCTGATAATCGCGCAGCTTTATTTGTTGGACGAAATTTCCAACCCGCGTAACGAGAGGTTATTAAATTCTTGCCTTAAATCATTCTCTGATTGGCTCTCGCGTTCAATGTCGTTGTCAGGTGCAGATATTCAAGTCAATATGTAATTGGCTTCCTAGGGTAAGAAAAGTTGTTATTGTTTACGTAGTAAGGACGGTGACTGTTATATGGCTAAATAAATATAATCGGGGATGCATTTCGAACTCGTCCTAAAACAATATCAACAAAAGATGTGTTAATGGTTGTTAGTGGTGTTGTAAATAAAATCTGTTAACCACTAAGGCGTTCAAGCACAATCGCACGTTTTCTTTCATTTTTTATCTTTCACTTTTTTCTTGATGTGATGTACGCCTGTATCCATGGCAGGAAGCTAGCGCTTTTCATCGAATTTGATAACAGTTTCTGAATTCTAGTTAATGATATGGTTCTGAATGGGTTACCTCCAACTGATTCCTCGATAGAATTCCACCTTTCGTGAACGCAAGCCTAGTTAAAATATTAATTCGTGAACACAGGCCTATTCATTTAATTCATCATTTAGATGGACCCACAGGTGTTGCTTCTTTGAAAAAGTATCTTACACTTCACACCACAGAAAAAATTGAAGACGCTGAAGGTCTTGTTGTCAACACTTTAGTCATGATGCTCCGGATTGCAACGGCGCTGAATCCACGACCGCAACAAATCGGTCTAACTGTGGTGAAGACCTTAATTTTTCTCTTTGCCAAAGGTAAATTGCCTTACTTATTTACTATTTCTTAGTTCTTCCTCCTCAAAAGAAAAAGGAACTTAGAATTAAATCATGACCATGTTATGCAGGACATTAACCGAATTTTGCGTGGATTTTTTCTGGCTAGGCATTAAAATAGGTTGTCTCGTGCAGCGATATCTAACACTGACTTTTATTATTTAATAAAGGGAAGGATATGGAGGATGGACCATGTGTTACACTACCGATGAATATGTCAGACCTAAGAGTGAGGTCACATACAACGCCCAGTTTCCTTATGGAAGTGACGGCCACAGAACTGATTGCAACAATATCCCAGTAAGTTTTTTAGCAGATATTAATGATCATACTACAGACATTCCTTTTTGCGAGATTTTAATATAAAGCACATTACTCCATTATCATCCTTGGGCACATGCAATTGAATATAGCAGTTTCGTGAAAAGTTGTCGGAAAAAAAAGCGTAAAAGTGCATGTAATAACTCCGAAAGATATTGTGAGTAGGCGCCCTCAAGATTTTAGGAAATCTGAGAAAACGTCATTCTAAGAACGAGACACAGTGGGTGTGATTGATTAACGGATTTATTTCGCTTAGTGAAGTAAAAGGAGTTCTGGATACTCAGATTATCCTTAACATTGTCGCTTGCACTTTTGCCTCATTTTCAAGCAAACTTTCTCGAAACAGCTGTATGTGAATAACTTAATGTGACCACCTTGCTTCTAGGACTCCACAAAAAAGCCGTCTATAACAACTACCTGTTTGGTCGTTGATGTTAATGTTGTTCAAATTTATTGCTAAGTTCCTCTATCTCTTTTAAATTACGTTTTAGACAGACTGACTCCTCCATTCTGTATTGATTCTCCTTACTCTGCTTTCCACCAGACTCATTAAGTTTATTATTTCATTATGATTATTTCAGTTCAGAGAAATCATCTTTGAGGATCACTCAACTGGAAAGAAGATTTACTTCAAGTCACGAAACAATCAAGCTATTAAGGCCTCCCTCAATTACGGAGAATCTGCATACTCCTATGGGTTGTGGGACGGTGTGGGGGCTGATCCAGCTTATTCCTACCAGCTTCTGATTTGTGATGATCCGTTCTACAGGGGCTTCCTGATTTCTGCCCACACAGGGGGTTGTTTTATGACATGCACCTATTGGTGCTCCGATGTTAGTGCGTCATTCTTCCGCACTGCGTTCACTAATTCACATGGCCAGAAGGGTGGCGTGGCATTTGGTGAAAAAGGTCATGAAGTCCATGATAAAAGACGCATCAGTATTGCCCTACGATAAGTTTTCTCCTTTCTTGGTTCCATGGTAAACACCAAGGCAGACCTAGATATAACATGCATTTATTTCAAATGTTTTCTGGGCGTTCAATCAGTAAAAGTTTGCTTGCTGGTACTAGTAATATCCTTTTTGTTCTTCTTTCCTTGACAACAAGTTATTCATCATCATTGGTCATAATAATTGTGTTAAAAGCTGATAACAGATAACGTTAACCCTTAACTCCAAAATGTAGGGGTGATCAGCATGTAATATCTCGATGTAAAACGAGAGTCTGAACACTTAAACAAGTGTTAAGTCACAGTTAGATTAACTCTGGACTTCATGTGTTTGTATAGATGTGTCCATATGCCGCCACCACCTCTAAATATAGAAGTAATGGTTATTGAACTGAGTGAAGAGCAATTTGGTCTGAAATCATACGCTTGATCTCAAATCAGACGAGCGTGCAGTGCATGTTTGATTTTAAATCACAAGAATCATTACGATTTCAATCCAAAGTTGCAATAAACGAAGTTCAATTACCACTTTATCACATCTATTTTGAATCGCAAAATTCAGTCGCTCCATACAAGAATTTTTTCCGGCTATACAGGTATTTTATTGATCCAGTGTAATGAGCTGGTTTGTAAAAAGTTGCAAAATTTGCCTCTCATTTACCTGCAATTTGATTGATTTCTTCAAATAAGCCTTGAAATTTGTTTGGTTGCTGTGTTTTATTAAAGCTGTCTCATTGGCTGGGAAAAAGATGCGATTAAGAACATAATATGGTGCGATTTGTGATTAAATCGCATCGATGAGAGCCAGTCAGTTTGCAGGGATCACAGTCAAGTGATTTCAATATGGATGTAGTAAAACCGCATTTCCGGGCCGGACATGCAGTTTTGGCCTTCCAAATAACGTCTTTATTGATCGGGCGGAGAACGTCACAAACTGCTAGCACAAAAACCTTCTATTTTGGATTAGGAACTCGTAACAAGCCGCAATAACCTGCAAAACACATCAAAGATTACCCAGCGAAGCGAAATTCGAAACAGGAACTATCTAAACTTACCATATGATGAAAGGAGGGAAACATAAGAGACAAATCACAATTTCAGAGAAAACTAAGTTCACCACGGGCGACTGAAAAGAAATGAAAATGTAAAGAACAAGCTACTGAGCTTCATGTTCTTACGAATCTATAGAAAAACGAAAAAATTGAGGAATGGACTTAAGGACTTGTTGAGGAATCGCCTCGACACTGTATATTATTCTGTAAGGAGCTTGTGAAAGGAAAATTATTGAGATAACTGTATAGAGATCCTTTCTTACTTTGCGAATCATACCAGGTAAGCGAGATGAGGTCGGTAAGATTTTGATGTTTGGGTATTCTAAATCTGAGTACGTATTGTAAAAATATTTTGCTGGGTTTTATCAACGAGTTCATAACGGATTTTAGTCACAGTGGAGAATTTCTAAAGCTGACTGTTTGAATGTTTGCTCGCCGTCATAACGCTCTAAAAACTCGAGATTAGTAGCGAAGGTTATACGTTGAGAGCGTGGTAATATTTAAATACCTACAGCTTTACGGCAGTTCTTTCCTTTAAGTCCTGGTGTGCATGTGCACTTATAATTATCATCGACACGCTTGGCCACACAAGTTGAACCGTTCCGACAAGGATTGCTGGAGCAAGGGTTTTGTGTAGAGGACACTCAGTTATATAAAGTAGCATAGAGCCATATATTAGTAGCATGAAACAACATCATGGACTCATTATTTATTAAACAAGTCTATCATTTGATGGTCTGTGACTGGTGGAAACTAAAGTTAGGCAAAACTGATAAAGGAGCTGAATTACACGGAATGCAAAATTAGGGAAGGTGGGCGGGTGAAATTAGCACGGAACTATATTATTATTTATTTTCTCAAGCTTGAATTCAAATAAGATATAATACGCGGAAAACATTTCTTTCCATCTTTGATCTCAGTATTCCCAAATCTTTGTCAAATACAGCCAGCACAAATACATTTGATCTTACCGGAACACTGAAGTGATTATAACTGAATTAGATTGTAGATCAATTTATCCAAGTTGTGGATCAACATTTGTTCCCGAGAAACCGAGCTCGATATAGATGACTCGAGCTCGAGAACCTACCTGAGGCAATTTCTTTTGTATGTTAAAGTGTATTTATTTCCTACATTTGCCTCATCCTACACGGAAGAATGAATGAAGACAAGCCTTGGCTGGAACAGAATGATTTTAGAAGTTCTGCCACAAAGTTTTAACCGAGCGCAGCAATAAATATCTTTCGAGTTAACTACTTTTATCAAAGTATAAAGCAATGATAGTGGAGAGCATTTTCGTGTCAGTGATATTCCATTGTTCATTCTCGCATCGCCTATCGCAGCAGAAGCGATAAGTTATTCAAAATTATCTCAAGTAGAAAGTGGCTGAATTTTGTTTTGCTTCCTTTTTGCTTTTTATCTTTTTTTGGGGGGGGGAGTAGCATCTAACTGTTTTTTAATTAAACTGCTAGTGATAACATTTCTCTTGAAAATTGTAAATGAAAGAACATCATTTGCCTTTGATGATATCATTTGTTTACTTACTCCCTGAAACACAAGACTATCCAACCAAACAAATATAATGTTACGCTTTCAAGATCTTTTAAAGTAGCCGCTGAATCTTTTGCAAACTGAAATGAGATGAGGGTGATATCCTCTTAAGTGTGTATTTCATCCCGTGTAATTTAGCCAAAGTGAACCGGTTTGTTTATGTTACATGTATCTATGACGCTTATGTTTAGAGCGAAAGCGTAAGCCAATATTTGCTCGGCTCTTTCTCAGCTTTTCAAACCGAGAAAGCTAGTTTGACGCCTTCTCCCGAAAGCTAGAATACAATTCATCAAAGTGTTTTTTTCTTTAATGATTTGTGCGTTCGAAATCAATTTTTAAGCTCGTATAGCAAAACATTTGGTAATCGCGAGATAGAAGTCCTTTAAAGTTGGACGCTTCTGGTAATTTAGTTGTCGCTAATTTTAAACTTAAACATTAATGTTGCAAAGCTTTCTATGAATTCATTTATTCTTAAATCATTCTTCCACTGTTTGCCCGTTTGTCCACTCTATTTGAAAAGATCTCATAGACAAAACTGTTGATTATGTTTGGAAGGCGTCAACTGCTCTACAAAAATAAATGTCAGAAGTACGAAAGACAAGCGACCACAGCTATTCATTATACGTCAGAGAGTTACTGATTAGCTGCAGGACATTATTTCATCTTTTCAAAACTAGACTCAAGGGGAGAGCTTAGAGCTGTAAGAATGAAACTGTCAATTACTATTATCAATTATTGAAAATATTTTTAAAGTAAGGTAAGGAAAGCTGTCAATGTTCACCTGATGTCGCCAATTCAAGCTCTCGTTTGCAGGTGCTATCTCTTTGCTATTCGCTTTATAATTTGTCATTACAAGTACAGTATATACTTTGCCTTGGCCAATAGAAATGCATTACTTGAAAAAATAAAAAATCAAGCTGTAAGTCATTAACTTCCAGAAGCGACTATTAAGTTCCTGTATTGATTACTGCTCTTCAATAGTCCTGCAGATGAATAATCTGCTGAAGCTTGGAAAATGACACACAGCCTCTCACAACGTAGAAGCTGTCTTTTTACGATGATGACCTTTATCTTGTTTGGACTGGCCATGACACAAGGTGCTTTCGTTTTAATATTTTATCGATAAATTCTTAATTTCTCTTGATGATATGACGACGACGACGTGGATGATGATGTAGATTACGAGGAGATAACTTCCTTATTAATTCACAACTTGTCCATAGTTTTCCTCTCAAAGCTTCGAACAATCGAGATGTACATTAAAAACCAGCGGACTTTTAAGAATTACTTGGGCTAATATTTACTTGGAGACTCCTCATACCAAAGAAACCTTTTAATGGAAGATTTTTGACGGGTTTTTCGTTTACATGAACCGTTTACGAAATTTTTAACAAGAACAAAACTATTCTCCCAATGCTGCAATATAGCAGGGATAAATTCGCGTCGGTGCGGAAGTCGCCTCGCTGTCCCATGAACACCCTCGTGATGACTGGTTACCTGATTATTACATATGAACGAAGTTATGTTTGATTCGAACATGACCATAGTTTCAATGTTTGGTCAGTAAGCATCGATAGGGACTGTCTTGAAGTAGTTAACACTGACTTTGATTATTCAGCTCGACTCTTCAGTTCTAGATGAAAAACATAAATACATTTGTTTTTCTAAAATATTGAAAATCACTGCAAAAGAAGATCAGTATTTTACAAACACCGTGCACGCGAAAGTCAAATTTTCATAAGTCGCGCCGTCTTAGTATTTTCGCTGCTTCTTTTTTTCTTCATTTTCTTTCTCAGTTTTTCTTCTTAGCAAAACTGACTCTCATTGAGAATGGTGATGATCGGTTACCTGATTATTACATATGCATTATTGACCAAACCTAAAGTCAAGATAACTGAATTTTGGCCGAGTTCTTTTTTGCGTTCTTGACCAATTGACCAAGACGACTTTGAGGTCCATAGAAAAACGGAAAAAGAGGCTAATATCAAGCCATGCTCGGTCAAAAAGGATTTATCATACAGCAAAGAGATTTCGCTTTATTAAGAATCAAGAATGAACTGTTTATTTCGAGAGCCGGTAAACACTCGGCTTCTTTTCATTCTTCTTATAAACTTCGCTTTTGTCAGACGCCACAACTAGAATGCCTTGGGGGTATGATAAACAATTCATTACGAAAACTAGAGCTTTAAACAATCGGCGAGGCTGTAATAAGTCACGAATTAAGAGAATCACTCGGATGTTCAAAGATTGACGGCACAAATACTCTAAATTTTGTCGTATTAATCTTCGATCGGTGTGGTGAGAGTAAGAAGGGTTTGTTTGTTCTCAATTGGGAATTATCAATTTTTTGGCGCAACTGCACAAGTTTTATCCGTACGTGTATCATTTTATTGCTAACAGCTTT